TGTCGGCGGTTCAGGGATAAATTCCCTGGCTGAATTTCCAGACCAGCAAAGCTGAACTGCACCTTGCGCTGTCTGGTTGTACAAGTGAAATGATTTGTGCTGGGAACGCAGCCATGGGTGGAGACAGCTCCAGTGCAGAAATAGCTTGAAAGCGGTGGGGCTGGCTGGGTTGTAATTGAGGTTAGAGGCAGATTTCCTTGCTGGCTTCAAAGAGGAGTGCAGGGAGGCATTGGAAAACAACTTGTGCTGAGGTCTGAGGTACCCCAATGCTAGAAAAAGGATGCAATGCAGAAAACCTAATGGAATAATTTTATTTACTAGAGGCCACCAAGCAACTTGCATCAAGCAGTCAGGGTAATGTCATAGGACTGAGGGGTTTTTTAAGAGAACGTAGGGGAATTCAGTCTCCCATCAAAACCAAAAATGTCTGGAGGCTGCTGTCTAACCTAGCCCCATCTGGGGTGATGGGACCAAGCAGGATGATTTGTGCAGGGCCCTATAACCCAGGGGTGTCCCAGCCATCTCCATCCAAGCTGGCCATGAGTTTTCCAGAGAACTGGAAAATTACAGAAAGAATTGGGATCATCTCAGTGGCATTAATATAGTTCTGTGTGGACACCCTGATTCCGGTGTAGCCTGGGCTCATACACCCCCCACCCTCAGATAATGCTGAAGCTTTGAGTGATGAGCCCTCAAGGCCAGGTATCTCAGTGCTCAGAGAGCACAGCTGGAGCCAGATGTTCACCCTTCAGCATATGTTTGGGCTCAGAAATGGTTGCTGCATCCATAGCCTGGTTCTCCAAAGAGTTCAAGCCGTGGCTCAGCAGTGCAAGAAAGCTTCCTCATGCCTCACATCCGGTCAGGAGCACCACAGCACAAAGCCAGCTCAAAAGTGAGGTTCCCACTGGTTGATTTAATGCTGGACCAGGGACCATCCCACCATGGCAGCTCAACACAAGAATCACCTGTCCTCTTGCAGCTATGTGGTGTCAGCATGAAAGCTGCAGTATGGGCTTTGATTTAATTGTCAGAAAGTGCCTGTACGCCTCCACGTGCACCAGATTGAGCGCACGGATCTGGGGCACCCTGAGCTCAGCCCTGGTGTCGCGATGGCTGTGCCCACCGTGCACACAGCCATGGAGCTGCAGTGCTGCTGGGTGCCATCTCCAGCTGGGAGTGAGGGGCCGGTGTGATCTGAGAGCCCAGGATTGTTGACTTGTAGGAAGGATTTGCAGACATTGCCAAAGACATCACCCAAAACCTTCCTGTAAGAGCTTGAACCTGAGGTAGCAGCAAGGCAGACCTCCTTGGACGAGATGGATGTGAGGCCACTTCGCTTCCCAGCACCGCCTGGAACCAGGCCAGTGCTGTAGAGGTGAAGCTTCATCTTCCACAGGGCCTGAGCCAGCACCTCCCCAGCCTGTTAAAAGTGATTAACTTGAAAACCAATTAGGAAATTAAGTTATAAAGCAGCCAGATAATTAGGACATGAGAGAACTGCCTCTTGACTGTACCCCCAGCACAGGCAGGGATTTCAGGGCTCTTCCTCTTTTTGTGGATGTTGAATAGTAACAAGCTCTGTTGTAAATCAGCTTTTTCTCACATTCACAGCTTTCCCACAGCTCTGCCTTCCTCCGCTCCTGGAGTGGCTGGCGGCTCCCCCA